GGCCGGACATTGAAATCGGCTTCATGGACAAGGCCGAGGTACGTATAAATATAGAAAAACCATAATTTCAGATGAAATATCGAATATTATTAGATATCATGATGGGTATAATCATAATGATACTTTTTGTTCTAGGATGGAGTGTGGAAATTTCATCATGACTTAGAAGCTGCACAAGAATAGTGCTTTCAATTGCGATGTAACCGAAGAAAAATATTGAAGCACTCAACATTTGAATAACGATGTTAAATTACTTGATATGTATGTACATACCTAATACGTCGTGATTATGTGAAATATCTGATGATACTTTTTTGACTGCTTTTTTCATATATCATTATGTAAGCAATATAATCCATTTTTTTATGTCTATTATCTTTCATTTCACCAGCAATATGAATATATTCCAGCGATATTGGTAGGTATTTTTCATTCTGAAACATTCAATGGGAATGTTTCATAAACAGTAATATTGTTGAATGAAAAACCTTCATGAAATGTTTCATGAAACATTCCCGAAAGTTCTACAATGAATGTTCCCAGGATGTTTCTATATATATGTATTTGAAACATTATTTATGAAACATCTCTGGTGGCGAAAATTTATCGTTTCAAAAATATTCATGGAATGTACCAAGAAACATTCCTAAAGATCTAATCATATTGGGAATGTTTCCAGAATGTTTCAAGCATTTGTATTCGAAACATCATTCATGAAACAGTTTTGAGGGCAAATATCTTTGGTTTCACGAATATTTCTGAAACATTTCATCTAATATAACGAAAGAAATATTTATGAGATATTGCATGGAACATTCCTACAGGATATGATCATGGTAGAAATGTTTCCAAAATGTTTCAATTTGCGTATTCGACACATTATTTAGGAACATTACCATGAAACATTCCTGAGGGCGGACATCTCTAGTTTCTGGAATGTTTCTGGAACATGTAGGCAACTTTGAATGCAATGTTTCATGCATCAATACTACGTTTCTGAAACATTTCAGAAACAAAAAAATGTTTACTGGGAAGTGTTCAAAATCGAGATTTTTCAACTTTAACATTTTTTTGTGTCGAAACTATTCATTATATTGGTCAAAACGGCTCCCATGTCCCGATCTCAACTTGTGATTTACTATCTACTGACATTTATTTGAAACAAATACAGGGTGGTTCAAGATTCAGAATTCTGATCACCCTGTATCTGTTCCAATTAAATGTCAGTAGATAGTAAATCACAAGTTGATATAGGGACATGAGAGCCGTTTCGACCAATAATGAATAGTTTCGACACAAAAAAATTTCAAAGTTGAAAAATCTCGATTTTGAACACTTTATATCCCTGAAACCATATATTATAGCTAGATCCCAAGTATGATGCATTGATGAAATCAGCTCTTCGGGGAGAATCTAAAGATGCAATGAAATACAAGGTGTTCCATTTGAAATAACAAAGTATTGTTGCTTCTTTTCGTTAGCAGCGGCAACGCCGCAGGGATGAAAATATTGTAGGACGATGTCCCCCTCGAAAACGTAGTTGACGTGTTTCAGATTCTTTTCATAATCCGGTTTTGGCGACCTACAGAGCCTCTGTTTCGTTTTCAAAGGCCCACTCTGTATATACGCTAAGGTACCTAGTAAAGAATATCATCAATATTAATCACCCAGGGACCAAAGATTATACTTATCCCGAGGCTGCAGCCGAGGGGTAGGTATAAATATATATATATATAAGGTCCCGTGTGTGGTGTGTAATAATATTCTTTACTAGGTAGGTACCAAGCAGGTGTACCTAAATGTAATTTTTTTCACCACTAGCAATATACATTTCAATCATCATATATATTTCTCTGAAACTGAAATTTTCTACGTACCTATTGCCTCTGTGAAAGCGCACCTTTCTTCAAATCTAATTAAAATCTGATAAGATAATTTTAAATACCAAAAACTATAGATTCGAGTGCCATTCCAGAGCGAATATCGCATCAGGTTAATACAACAGTAGGTGGCTTTGGTGGCTATTTGTCTATTGACTAGTGGTTCTCATGACTCATAAAATGACACAACTACCTTCCCAGTTGACCAAAACATGTCGCAGCTTTATTCCTGCTGCATTTCAAATGTTCCATGTTTCATCACAGAGATGTTCCCATCAGAGATATAGCATAGATGAATGTCCGCCTCAAATGAAATCACAGACTTATATCAGTGATGCAACATCAGACTTGAATCAGATATGCTCCTGTGAGATCACAGTGATGACTATGTATCTACATAGCTCTCTCCATGAGCTTGCCAGAGACGTTTCTGATAAATCTGTGCTCTGCATCAGCTCCATCTCAAATCATCCATAAATTTATACTGGTTCCACCAGTATTTGAATCAGTTTCGAATGCAACACCATAATGTTTAGGATATATTCTTGGATTTTCAGATGTTGAAATCAAAAAATCCATGAATAATATACCCCTAAACACATGGTGGCATTCAAAACAGTGAAACAAAAGGAGTAAAACTGTAAACTTTATTCCAATCCATTGACAAATTACTAAACAAACCTCAAAATATATGTAAAATAAAAATATGAAATAGAATATACAGGGCGTTCCCAGTTTTCATGATGATCACAGCATGGTTTTCTTCCATAACTCCTTCATTTATTTCCTTTTTACCTGCAGATTCCATCTCTTGGAACTGATGCATAGAAAAGTTATCATTCATTTTCATGGGAGATCATTGTTTTGTTTTTACTGTTCTCTCCAACCATTTTTCCATAAAAATCGAGATAAAAATCTTTAGTTGAGCTGACTACAACTAGAATAAATGATATTTCAGTGCAAATAAAAGTATACAAAACAAGTGTTCACCTGTCATTATTGCGAAAACTCTCAGATTAGCCTATAACCACCTGGTCTTCGCTACACGGAAATCAGAACCTGGTCTCTTCAGTATATTTTTGTACCTAGTATGCATTCTGAAATCAAAATTGATGATTTTCCTCTCTTGAAGTCCAGCTGGAATAAAAATTCAATTTCAAACTACAAACTAGTAGCATACCTATATTAATAATAAAAATATGACACAAAACACAAGATACATTTACAAATATTGTCACTAAAATTGCAGAGTTGAATTTCTTTGTTGGATATAAAGAATCACAAGTACTTAAAAAATGAAAAATAGCCTCAAACCTAGCTAGAATAAAGAACCAAAACATTATCATCTATTTGCAGATATCTATTTCATGTGGTCAATGATTTATGAATGATTATTCAATGATTATAAATTTAATTGGTATAAAATTGAAATAATGAATTCCACCTAGACATGATGGTGTGCAAACTGCAAGGGTAGGCAAATCATATCTAAAACTTACTTACCTTGGTAGGTACTGACACACTGTATAAGTATACGGTGGTACTGATGACTACATCAGCAGAGGGCTTCGAATCACACAAGTGGCTTACTTGGAATGAAATTCATTTCAATGTCCCAATGAAACAATAAGAGTCATCTTGGTGATTTTGGTGAATGGCAGATCATTGTTGTTCTGGTCATTTAGTGAAATAACAAATACATTAGTTTTGTTTTGTAAACAACGAGGTATCCTTTTGTGCTGCTTATTTCGTTTCGTAACCGAATTTCTTGAAAATCCACGAAAAAGTGAGGTTAGGAAAGCCCAGTAAACACAAAGCACATTCTTCGTCTTCGTGATTGTTAAACCACATTAACCACAACCACAGTGAATTTCACGTACTCAAATGATCACTATTAAACCTACAATACAAGCAAGAATTATATTTTTGAATGCAATTTGCATCAGTTCAATTTCAGAACGTTGTGGAATGTGATGCCACAAACTATGCGTTGATAGAACGTGTGATTGTAGTTCTTTGATTGATCTCCTTTGTGATGACGCCTGAGATGCCTAAATTTCATCACGTTGATAGAACGTGTGATGAAACAAAGTTCTTCAATTGATCTGCTTTGTGATGACGCCTGGGATGCCTCAATTTTATCACGTTGTTAAAACGTGTGATGAAACAAAGTTCTTTAATTGATCTGCTTTGTGATGACGCCTGGAATGCCTCAATTTTATCACGTTGATAGAACGTGTGATGAAACAAAGTTCTTTAATTGATCTCCTTTGTGATGACGCCTGAGATGCCTCAATTTTATCACGTTGATAGAACGTGTGATGAAACAAAGTTCTTTAATTGATCTGCTTTGTGATGACGCCCTGGGATGCCTCAATTTTATCACGTTGATAGAACGTGTGATGAAACAAAGTTCTTCGATTGATCTCTTGTGTGATGACGCCTAGGGTGTCTCAATTTTATCACATTGATAGAACGTGTGATGAAACACTGATTTGCAGCAGTTGCATGTTATATTTTAGATGCAAGTTGCATATGTTTCAGAACGGTGTGATGAAACGAAGTTCTTTGACTGATCTCTTTTGTGATAGAGCTGAGACATGTGTGGTTAACTGGGTTCGTACCTTGGTAGTAAAAACCTAGTAAAAACTAGAGTGACTATTATTTATATAGTCACTCTAGTAAAAACACACTTTACGCCTCGAAAAGGAGTAAATGTTGGTAGGTTTTATATTATAAATTTTATATATAGCTGTTGGTGGAAAAGGTATATTGGTAATAATAATCAAAAAATTGTGAAAATTGTTGTTGAAATGTTGAAATTTTCTTGAAGTTGAAAAACTGAGAAAAATCTTTAAATTCAGAAAAACTTAGGTCACCAGGTAGGAGAGTGACGAGTGCAGACTACAGTAACGATTTTGCTAACGAAACTTGAAAAGTGCTAAATTTGGTACCGAAGTACTAGATCTCGACACGACACAGGTCTGTTCGTTTGTATTGCCGAACTAGCTAGAGTTGATTTTTTTTCCCATAGTTGTTTCTGTTCATGGCATGATGTAAAAAGAGATAGTTATGAAAATTAATGAAATTTAGCAAGGGCAAACACAATGACGCATGACGTTTTGATTTTGTTTTGACGTTGAGGCACAGAACACTGACACATGACATCTTGACACAATACAAATGGCAGAAAAATGACATTGACAACTGACAAAGTCAACTCAACTGTCTCCTGTCAGTTCTGATCGAATATCGAATCGAAATATCGAAAATCGAATCCTCCATCCTCCAAAACAAAAACAGGGTTTCAAAAATAAATAAATTATATCGTTTAAAATAAAGATGTTAACCTTTGAACTCATTAGCTGGATCATATTATGAGAATATAAAGATAGTGATATTAGTGATTAGTAGTGATGTGAACAAAATGAAATAGGTACCTCCTTTGAAACCAGGAAACTACTGACTGGACTACAGATAAGGAATTTTCAACTTGAAGAATAATGTCGAACGTCGAACGTAATCCAGGTTGTGAACTAGGTTAGTAAAATAGCAACCCCAATGCTGTCTCAAAAAAAGCATAATCCCATTTCCAAAATCAGATTTAGGATGGTTGAACAGTGTACATATCAATCTGCAAGCTGTTAATGGGCAATCAAGAAAGCTGTCAATCCTTAGAGACTTGAAAGGAGAATGCAGAGCAGCATGGATTCTCAAAGCTATTACTTGCATAGATTTGACCACACTTGCTGGAGACGACACTCTTAGCAATGTGTCTAGGTTATGTTACAAAGTACATGAATTCATTATTATTGATGAAAATGGCATAATTCTATGTATCTTGTATTCTAGGCAGCTAAACCATTAGCTGAGGACTTGCTCAATGAGTTGGGTTTTGAGTATGGTGAAAATAGCCCCATACATACTGCAGCTATTTGTGTATATCCTTCCAAAGTACAAGATGCAGTTCAAACCCTTGCAAAAATTGGGTTGAATGAAAAAATCAAAGTAGCCTCAGGTTAGGATACAATTACTTACCTATTTTCAAAATGAAAAAGTGTCTTAGTTGTTTTATAGTTGCAACTGGATTTCCTAGTGGCCAAACCCCTTTGAGGACAAGACTGGGAGAAATAAGATTTGCTGTGGAACAAGGTGCCAAGGAAATTGATATTGTGATAGATAGAAGTTTGGTCCTGACTGGTAAATGGGAGCAGCTTTATCAAGAGATACAAGTGATGAAAGAGGCTTGTGGGCCACATGTACATCTTAAAGCAATCTTGGCTACAGGGGAATTAGGAACATTAGATAATGTGAGATAACATGTTGCCAGTGGTCCTGTGTAGCTTTTAAATATTATATTTTTCTTTATAGGTGTATAAGGCATCTCTTGTAGCTATGATGGCTGGGTCAGATTTCATAAAAACATCCACAGGTAAAGAAGCAGTGAATGCCACATTACCATTTGGCATTGTCATGGCTAGAGCTATTAGGGAATATTATGAAAAAATGGGTTACAAGGTAAATTATCACTTTCTGCAATGTATTCCATTAGGTATTCAGAAAATGTTATGTTGATGTTGAAGGTTGGTTTGAAACCTGCTGGTGGAGTTAGAACTACAAAAGATGCCTTGAATTGGCTGGTTCTTATCAAAGAAATATTAGGCAATGATTGGCTGAATCCAGAACTGTTCAGATTTGGTGCATCTGGACTTTTAGGTGATTTGGAGAGCAGCTTGTACCAGTATGTTACAGGAAAGTATCCTGCAGGATATGAGTTCACTATGGGATAATCTAAAACAAAGGAGCGATTTTTTTAGGTGACAAATTTGTCATTGAAAATAATGTTTTGAAGCAGGATCAATATTAATAGCTTGTATCCATGAGTATTGTTCATGTAATATATCAAACTATTTACTGCCCAATTTAATATCTACTTCCATCTCTATCCTTTTCTCCAATGTTCTCCAGATTTATTATTACCTTCCTGACCGGCCAGAAAATATTTCAAAATCATTTTTTCTTTGGCTTTTGGGTTAGTTTCAACAAGAGTATATTAGTCACTGTTCTACTGGTTCTACTATTAGTGATAATACCATCCAGTAACTCTAGTTAATCTGTGATCTGTGCTTTATAGTAAAGACCCTTGTTGAACGCAATTGAACGAGAGCCTAAAGTTTTCGAACCGTTCAGAAAGAGCGAGGGGTTATATACTGTGCTCGGGCACAGTAGAGAGGTGGCTGGGGTCTCGAGAAAAAGGAAAAACATCCTTGAAAGCCTAAATTACTAATATCACTATCACCACCATTCTATTAGTGCACGGGAATGGTTCGAAAGATTTAGACACTTCTGACTTCTGAAATGCTTTGACATTCTACGTTCGAAAAATACATAAACCATGGAAAGCATGCGCAGTTCCACGGAACATGAAAAATGTCAAGTTCTGTGAATTTGCGCATGCTTCTGATGGTGTTGAAATGTCTATTTTTCGTGCGAGAACAAACCTAACCTAATTGATTTCAGTCGGCAGTGGAGATTGGAGAAGCACATGTTTGTTATTGTTTTTGAAAAAACTTTTTCCTTTGAATTGTAAAGAAGTTTGATGCAGTAAAGATCTGTAAAATGAAAGTCGATGAGGATTTACGTCAGCGTCTACAGAAATTTTCAAAAATCAACAAACAGTTCAGCCATGCTTTTCAGGTAAAGTTGGCTTAGACCCCAACCTAAGAACATGTTTTTTCTCAATTGTTTTTTGCAGATTATTGAAAAAAATACAAAATTGAGTGAGGACGAGAAATACAGAGATCTTTTCTTTTATCTGGCCAATGGACTGTTTGTGTATCCTCAGTATTTCAATGAAATCACCAAAGAATTTCCATCTGAGGTCCCAAAATTATTACAGATTGCACTATTTTCAGATGTGCAAAAGTTGTCAAACTATAACAGGCATATTCTGAACAGTATTTTACTGGTGAATTCTATTAAGTATAAGCCAGATTTTCAAGGGTGAGCTTTAACCAACTTTTCTAGACAGAATATAAATCAACAGTTGATAACTGAAACCATCTTAACTGAAACTATAATCAAGATATTATCCTGCTCTCTAGATTTATGTGTTATTCTGTGCCCTTATATTCATTCAATTGTTTTTCCAGTTATGCTCTGAAATATTTCAATTCAAATTCATCTGTATTTGAATTTGAACACACCATTGAAATCAGCAAAAAACGCAAAATGATCAACAAATGTGAAATCAGTGATTTGGAAATTGTAGATACATGTTACTATCTGTTGCAAAGCAATCCAGATTTTTACAGGAATAAGTGGAATTGGTCAATTTTCATCAAGAAGTATTTAGACCATAAAGATCCAGAAGTTAGATGGTTAGTATGTGAATTTTTATCACCAAATACAGGATCTACTAACTTTCTTCCTCAATAGGACTACTTGTAGAACAATAGCAATTCTTGTGGGGATGAATGAAAAACAAGTTGAAAAGCTCATGCATAGCAGGGTCCCTTCCAACTTGAATAAAGATCTTATCTGTACATTTGACTCTAAAAAAAAATCAAATGTCTCATATGGGACTCATACAGTAGACAAAAATCATCTGATTTTGCAAACCAATCCTCAAACTGATGATATAGAAAACATTTCTGGTATATACCTACCAGTTGTTTCTCAGAAATCAAATTTGAACAGCTCTTTAGTGAAAGTACCTTCTACTAAAAGCAATCTCAGGAAAATTGCTCTGGCACTCACTTCAAATAGGGCTGTCTGCCTTCAAGGCCCAGTAGGGGCAGGTAAGACAAGTCTGGTGGAATATTTGGCTCAGAAGACTGGTAGAAATCTGGGTGAAGACTTTGTCAAGGTCCAATTAGGAGATGAAACTGATGGTAAAATGTTACTGGGAACTTACAGATGCACAGATATACCAGGAGAGTTTGTATGGCAACCTGGAGTTTTAACACAGGTATGTAGAAACTATTTATCTTGTGTTTATTTTTGAGATTAGGATTCATAAAAGGACAAGAAATAGATAAAATGTTTAAAATTGTATCTTAATAATATGAAGGTTATTTTTGCCATGCAAATTTTCTTCAGACCAAGAGGATTTTGGATTATTTTCATAAGATTTCTTTTGACAGGCTATAATAATATAACTTCTGGTGGCATAAATTACAGAAGAGGAATATTTAAATTTTCAAAAATATAGAAATTGAAATTTCCCAGAAGCTCTCTCATATATTGGATTTTGGATTATTTTTATGAAATCTATTTTGACAGGCTATAATAACATAACATTGAATACTCTGTATTCATTTCTGGTTGCATAAATCAATTCAAAAATATTGTAGTTTAAAATTTCCCATAATCTCCTATGTGTGGTCATTTAAGTTTGCAACATAATATGGGAATCTTTTTAATGAATTGCACAACCAAAATACAGATAGTGCCGAAAGTTGGTGCATGTTTGGTGATCATTTCAGGTGCACTTGAAATAGTTGCAAGTCAAACAGCATTCAGGGTAGGTCAAAAAATATAAAAATTGCTCAAGAGCAAAGTACCATTATTTCAGAAAATGTCATCGTTATGCCTAAATACCAAAACATGGCCTCCTAAGACATTTTTTAGTTTTTATTTTTTTCCCTAATAATTTCCCAACTGAAGAACTAAAATATGTCTCAGGAGGCCATGTTTTGGTATTTAGGCATAACTCTCAATTGTAATCAACTTTTCTTTATAACATATTGCTGAATTTTTTGAAATAAGGGTACTTTACTCTTGAGCAATTTTTATATTTTTTGACCTACCCTGTATGCTGTTTGACTTACCAACCATTCTGAGTTCACCAAAAATTATTACCGGTTATGCACCAACTTTTGGCACTATCTGTATTTTGGTTGTGCAATTCATTAAAAAGATTCCCGTATGTTGCACACTTAAATAAACACACTGTATATTGTCATGTTCTCAAAATGTAAGGCATATAAACCTACTTCAGGAAAAGTCTTGTTAAAAGTGATATTAATTTCACACAAGAACCAAACTTTTTGTTGATGAAATTTGACAATTATTATCATTATTTGCCATTTTTATCAGAAGATCTGAATTTGGTTTTAGTGTAATTTTTGTTTGTTCAAAGGGTATATCATTTATATTGTTGAAAAACTCAGGGTCGAAGACTACTTGCTAAAATTAATGGAGGTCATCCCAAAACTCCTTTGTTGGTTTTTGAGATAAGGTTATAAAAGTTGAGATAGAAACCAGTTTCAACAAAATTTGTTTATCAATTTCAGTGAAATTCGATAGGTTCTAAGAACAACATACCTACTTTGTTTGATGTTATTGTTGCAATTTATTTCTTGGTCAAATTTATTTTTTATGAGGAAATAATAAGGACAAAAATTGAAGAACTCTTTGAACAGAACAAACTAAATTATTTGGTTCTCATTTGCAAATGAATATGTAATATGTTTTTGGAAGAAATCAACTCTTGACAATTATAACAATATTTTCAATACACCCTGCACCCATTTATAAAAAATATCTTATGAACGTGAAAAATAATTCTTGTTTTGGATCCAGTTATTATTTTACTCAGATTACTTATTTGGAATTTCTCTAAATAATCCCTAGACATTTTTTTAAATTTCTGAAAGATGTGACTGTACTAAACACAACTTTGTAGGCTGTCCTTGAGGGACATTGGCTCCTTCTTGAAGACATAGATACTGCCAACATGGATATAGCATCAGTACTTACTAGCTTATTAGAAAATAACACTCTTACAGTTCCCGGATATAGAGATACAGTACCTGTCACACCTGGATTTCAGTTATTTTTGACTCAAAGGTACACACATAGTTTTAAAGCCTTTTGCTCCTTTTGATTTCACTATTTTTTCGTAGATTCGTTTCAACAATATCAGGTCACCACAAAACACACTCAAATTCTATGGCTCTCTTAGAAAAACATGTTTTACAAATAAACATCGACCCACTCTCTACAGAGGAACTCAAGGAAATTTTGAACACGCGCTATATCGAATTTCGTACCATCAGCGACCGAATGATTAGCGTTTTTTCACTGTTCAGTTTGGAAACATCAGACGGTTCAAAGATTTCTGTCCCGAAAAGTGGTCGGCTAATATCAACACGCGACTTTTTCAAATGGTGCTCCAGAGCAATCATAGATTTTGACATCAAGTCCCAAGCAAGTGCTTTGAAAGTACTACAGGACGCCATAGATGTCTTTTGCTGCTCTTTTTCCAACACAAAAGAAGCTCTAGACTTGGCCAAACAGATCAGTACACATCTAGGCATAATCAACCAAAAAGCAGAGTACTTCTTCAACAGTTACAAGCCTAGCATGAGCTTAACCACCAATAGCTTGATAGCTGGGCGAGCAAATTTGCGACGCGAGAACAACCAGTACACCAAACAAGTGAAATACTCCTTCACCAGGCCCTCTGCTATCTTACTGGAACGAATAATGTGCTGCATAAGCTTGAGAGAGCCAGTCCTACTAGTAGGAGAGACAGGTACAGGCAAGACATCTTGCATACAATATCTGGCTCACACGATTGGTCAGAAACTCGTCGTCATCAACATGAACCAGCAGTCCGATTCTGCAGACTTGCTGGGGGGCTTTAAACCTGTGGAAATGAGCCTCATCGTATCACCTGTGCGTAAGGAATTCGAGCAGGTCTTCTGTGATTACTTCAAGGTGGAGCCTAACAGAAAGTACTTGGGAAATATTGCACTTTGCTTCAATTCCCAAAGGTGGGCGGATGTGGTCAAACTGATGATCAGGAGCTATCAGGCTGCCATAGGGCGATTGAAGAAGGCCCTGGAAGATGTTGAGCTTGACCCAGGGGTCAGAGATGAGAGAGCAAGCAAATATGAGAAAGACAAGGAGTTCC